TTGGATCCTTTTGGTCTTTGTTATAGGAGTATTAAATAAACTGTGTCCAAGGTATGTCCCTCCTGGTTCATCAGTCACTAATAATACAGCTTTGATTTTTAAGATTTTACTTGTGCAGAATTTGGATCGTAGCATAGAACTACAGCTGGATGTGGCCTGAATTATGTGTAAAGCCCGATTTCCACTCTACTCTACTCTCTCCTTGGTCTCTCTTGGGTCTCTCTCTGGTCTCCCTCTGGTCTCTCTCCAGTCCCTCTCTCTAGTCTCTCTCTGGTCTCTCTCTGATCTTTCTCTGGTCTCTCTCTGGTCTCTTCCTGGTCTCTCTCTGATCTTTCTCTGGTCTCCCCCTCTGGTCTCTCTCTCTGATCTCTCTCTGGTCTCTCACTGATCTCTCTCTGATCTTTCTCTGGTCTCTCTCTGGTCTCTCTCTGGTCTCTCTCTCTGATCTTTCTCTGGTCTCTCTCTGGTCTCCCTCTCTGGTCTCTCTCTGGTCTCTCTCTGGTCTCTCACTGATCTCTCTCTGATCTTTCTCTGGTCTCTCTCTGGTCTCTCTCTGGTCTCTCTCTGGTCTCTCACTGATCTCTCTCTGATCTTTCTCTGGTCTCTCTCTGGTCTCTCTCTGGTCTCTTTCTGGTGTCTCTCTGTGGTCTTTGTGGTCTCTCTCTGGTTTCTCTCCCAATTGGGGTACAGTAGAGTAGAGCCAAGTAGAATAGAGTAGAATTCAGTAGAGCAGACTAGGGCTGGTGGAAATGGGGCTTTATTCTAGCAGGAGAGCAGCAAATGAAACATGGAAAAGATGACTTAATTGTTTTGACAAATGACGTCCAAATGTGATGGATTAAGATCGCTCAGACGACAGACGGGTATGCGACAATCTGCCCCAACAAAACCACAAATCAGTTATTGGCGTTATTTCGAGATGCTAGAGCTTTAAACGCAGTGGAGTGAGTGCTGATTGGGCTCGGATCAGGTGTGGGCTGTTGTTTTTTTGGATTATGGCCCAAATCCAAACCACTGGAGCTGTCAGCCGTTTTAAGATTCACTGAAAGTTCAGAAGTGCAAAAGACAATGCATTGTTGGTCAAATCCCATATTACATTACGCACTCTTCCAGTGACCTGCTTCAGTGATGAGGAAAAGAGAGAGAGGGATCGGCAATAACGAATGGTGTCGAATAGATTAGGATTAAGATTAAGAAGAGATCCTTTATTCGTCGAACAGTGGGGAAATTTCAGTGTTGCATCGGCGGTTACAGTAGGAATGAAGAGCACATAGCAGAAGATAAATGAACAATAATATACAGTAGAAGCAAATCTAAAGTAAAATCTCCAACTATAGCATGAGAAGAAATATAAAGTAAACTTCAGAATAACAAAGCAAGTACACACACACACACATGCACACACGCACACACACACATGCACACACGCACACACTGTATTAATGATTATGTCTGCGGCTTCTGGCTGATCCCTGTGAGTATATTTTGACATCGTCGGACCCTGTGAGCTTATTTTGACGTCCGTGGACAGGCACAAGTCTCTGCTCAGTGGGACTAGAAGCATTCCTTTGTTCACACTTCACTCCTCTCTTCAGGGGATTAAGAGTTTGGGGAATAATGTTTGCAAGTCCTCCACCGTCTGCTGGGCCACGGAACCTCCGCAGTTTCACCTCCAGAACACAAATACACCATTCTTTAAGAACTTTGGTGATGGAGAAGGAGAGCGGGACAAAGCCAGACACTGAAAGAGCATTATAGTAGTAGCTTTATGAGACGCTTTGGGCTGCGAGCTGATTGGCTGAGAGAGGGTGGATGTCTCTACTGCACTTTCTGTTTTGAGAGCTGGGAATGGATGCAACAAAAATACATGTAGTTAAGCAGTTATGCAGTGAAGCTTTATTATATGGGTTAATCACACATAGTTGTCCCTTTTATTTTGCTAATTTTTTTCATGGTATTGCAACAAAATACCACAATAATCCAACAAGTATGACAGTAATACATTCCATGAAAAAATTTAACAGGAGTAGGATGAAGAAAAAACAGATCTTACAAACTCCTACCCCATTCGTGTGTGAAGAAATTTACAAATTAGACTGCCTAAAATACAAAAATATATATAAATATATCATAGAAAATATATCAAGAGAAAAATATCAAGCATTGCATTTTAATTTTCAATTTTTTTTAATTATTTTTTTTATTAACCTTTTTACAAAATTACAGCAGAGAATATGGCAAGATAAAAACAAGCAACTATATAGAAACTGCTCCTACTAATTACTTTTGTTGCCAACACTATGTTCTATTTTTATGTGTTTAACTTGGATTACTGTACTTTTCTAAACATGTGGAGGCAGCATTTCAGAGGTATGCAGCTATAATCTGGAACAGTCTTCCTGAAAATGTGAGACAGGCTGCTTCTCTGACAAAGTCCAGGTTAAAAACTGCTTTAATTATTTATGACGTTATGATTCATGACACTTGTGTATGAACTGTGCTGTACAAATATACTTCTTGCCTTGCCTTACTCGAGTACAAATACCCGGCTGCTCCTGTCCTCCTCCTGGCCTCAGCAGGGGTCCAGTCTGTGGCCATATGCATTACCCTGATATTTTATCCACCTGACAGAATGTACATTAAGACTGCTATATTTCACGATGCTGTCAGAGCCGCTCTTCAGCCTCTCACCTGGACTTGTGTGGAAGTATTCACACGTTTTCACACCAGATCCTCTGTGACGACGAGGATAAATCACCGGAGACGTTGGCATCGGTTCGCGGCCGTTCCCATAAGTCTCTGGTTTTACTGTCCCGTATGCTCCCTGTGCAAGTGTACGGTTACTGGGCACCACGGAGGGAAACGAGGGCCTCTAGTGGTTAAAAATGTCATTACAACATAAAACAAATCAATGTTAGTTCACTCAACGCGCTGTCTATTCAATTGCATTTTTGAATAGCTCTAAACCACAACAGAAGTCGTCTCGAAGGACTTTGCAAAGTTTTCGATCAGAGAACAACAGATCAGAGAATCAAACATTTCAAACACAGAAATGCAATAATAACAAACAAGAGCCATTGGTCCATATAAATTGTGTTGACCAATGTCCATAAGTGTTAATAAATGTCCATTTATATATAAATTGTATAATTATATAATATAATCTTTGAATTGTTATCGCTTTTCTATGTGAATCAGCTGATGAGAGGCCAATAATATAGCTGTGTTAAAACTATTAATAGAACCAAACTGTTTTGAGAGTGAGGAGCTAGATGGGTTGATTTCATGAAATTTAATTTGTGGCTTGAAAGTTAGGTACCCCAGCTTTAATTTATGTCAATTTGCACATTTTTCAGACTTCAAACTAATTAAGACTTTCACCTTTACACAAATATACACTAATACTAACTAATTGTTTGACCTCTGTTAGATCTATGATAATAAAGAGAAAAGAAAGAGCCAGCCTCAGCTCTCAGTCCAAAAAGAGACTCTTATAAATATAACTTACATACAAACTTACTTATGACTGCAAAAGGTAAAATGAACTTTTTTTGTTGCTGTTTTAAAGGTGCATCTAAAGACAGTAAATAACACAGTACAAGCTTTTTGCTTCATCAAATCTTATTCAAACCCCGTGCCAGTATTTATAATTTTATTCTATGAATAAATGTTGGTATTTCTTGTGCATGTTTGATATAAATTATTACTAAATAAAATAAATAAAATAAAAGTTATGTACCCCAGCTTTAACACTGATAATCTGACATAGAGCTGTCGGTGGAGCTCTCGGGTTTCTGTGGTGTGAGTGACCAGGAGATGGACATCACTTACAGACTGCTCCTGGGGCAAAGCATTCTTCCTGGACTTAGGACCTCAGAAGTGGTCCTACTCCCCAGACGCTTCCCTCTCTTTCTCTCTCTGTCACCCTCTCTCTCTCCGTGATCAGTCTCCGCACCAATCAGAGGCCGGGGAGATGGTTTTAGTGGGACAATCTCCAGAGATGTAATCCGGCGTGTTAAGAGCCAAATGGACGACCTTTGTATACAGCTTTAGGAAGAGATTTTTGACCGCGAGCGAAACTACAAAACAGCCGTCACGCTGTCATGGCAACTAATCTGTCACTGATACTGCTCACAATCCCACGCCTTAAAATTAGCCATTTCCCGATAATATTATTTTCATTTCCTGCAAATTCACACAAACATGAATCTGAGTTTTACAATTAATTTATTTTCGGGACATCACAAAGTTGGCAAACTCTGGAAATTAAATAATAACAAACACATAGGTGCCATTGGGAAGTGGGTTGACCGATGTCCAAAAATGTTACACATTATACAATACATTAATCACCGGCTGCTTCACCAAGGTAATCTATTGGTTTATGCATCAGTCTTCCAGTAACAGAATGTTCAAAGCCACAAAGTTCTTCTGTGTTATTTAAAGGAAAAATATTATACATTATTTTTGGAAATGAAAATGAAAATGATGTAAACGTTTTGCTTTATCATATCATGCTTTAGAATGTGAAATATTATCTTGGGTAGTAAATATATGGTGGAACAAGTCTGAGGAGTAAAACAATGGTATCTATGTAACTCTCTATGCTGCCACCAGAGGGAGGAGTAAAATTTGTTTTTCCCCAATTTTGGGAATTACCGATTGCAAACACAGCCACGCAATTGTAAATAACATATTTTTATGAGTTCATTTTAAAAATCTATTATATTTTCTATTTACAAGCAACAGAAAAAGGCCCGATTTGTATTTTTAGATACAGATACAGAAAAAAGTTGGAAAAACCAAAATGGTCCATACATTGAGACAAACAAAAAGCCGTCAAATTGACTGCTAAAACCTGGGATTGCCCACTGCGACATTCTCAGGACAGTGGTATTTTTTTTAAGGGAACAAGATGAAAAGATAAAGCTAAGATAAACTGCCCTTATCCAATGGGAACCGGATCGTCTTGTTTCTCTTGAAGCAGAAATAAATCGGCGATGGTTGTGACTGACTTTGTCCCGCGGCAGTTTCACATCGCAGGTGGAACACACGTGATTGACAGGTCTGGATTGTTTATGTCCCGCCCCTATGGTCCGTCTCCTCGGTGGAGCGGACAGAGGTGTGCGAGTGCCAGGCTTCTGTTTCAGGTCAGCACATACATCACTGACACAGAGGCAGTCACTGGGACGGCCCGGATACTGCCCTCCCCCTCTCCCCCTTCACCCTCCACCCCAGTGTCAGGTGTGAGCTGCTCCATTCGTCCATTCGTTATACAGGTATGATGTTGGTAACTTTTAGAATTAAGGATATATTTCTTTGTTTTTATGGATGGATGTGTTTCTATGTATCTACTGTATCTGTCTGTCTATCTGTTTATCTATATATCAGCATAAGCCATTTCAACTCCAAATATTCAGGTTTGGGACTGATGACAAAAAATATGTGTCAGAATAAATTCCCAACAGATTTACATTTAACACTAGGACTCCCAGAATTCTAAAACTACCAAAACTCCCCAACCACCCTTTTGACGGCTCCCATTCTAATCCACAGAGAGAAAAAAAAAACAACAATCCACAGAAATCTGAAAAAAAAGAATTAATTTTCCACCAGTTTTTTTGTTTGGAAAAATACAGACTGATGAATGAGTCAAAATGTAGAACTATTTCAAAAACAAAAGATAATTTCACAAAGAATAATGACATAGAATTCAAACTCACAATTTTGGGCTTAAAAATCCATCCATGATTCTGATGCTTGATATTCTCTTAAATTGTAATTTGTAAATTGAGATATGAGCCATAAAAAAAGTGACCAATCCGGTGCCTTCATTCTCCGGCTTCCTTTAGCAACTATGTTAGCAACCCATTAGTTTGCATCTGCCCCGGCATCTGAAATTCATTCACAGTCTAAATTAGGAATAAAGCAAATATTGAGAAGATCCACATTTTTACATGACTTTGATTTTTCCAATTTGCCTTTTTTATCTAGAATAATCTGACAAAATTTGGGTACAGCCACGCAAACAGTCTGGTTTGATCGATGAGCTAATTAGCGACAGGGGCTAGTGGTGGAGGACTTGTCAAGGATACCCCCCCTCCTCCTCACACTGGGGTAATGGGGCTGGAGGAAGTGAGCTTGCCCTGGGCGCATAGCTGCACATTACGCACTGAACAGAGACGGACGGATGACACCGGAGTCACAGCCGCCTCGGGGCAAAGTGCTCCAGCCCGAACCTGTCGCTCTCTGCTCTGTGGCTCTTCACACTTCAGCGAAACAGAAACACACTCTCAGGGAGGCCTCGCACTGATGGCTGTCGTAGATCATGGACCGTTGCCATGGTGACTAACTAATCAAAACATGCCTGATCTTTATATTGGGGATAAACTGTCCTCACATTTTTGGAACTCGTTAAAATCTTAGTATTTTGTTCTGTGGAGTAATTGTTCATATTTAGTTGCTAGAGTATTGATTACTTATAGGGGTTTTAGGGTTAGGAACAGCTAGTTTGGGTTAGGGTTAGCTTGCTGCGGCGTTAGAGTTAACTTGCAACGGAATGAAATACCAAGATTTAAGGCAGTCCTCAAAATGTTGCAAGAATCAGGAAGTTAAACGCGATAAACACATTCTAAATTACGTCATTGTGAATTTTGCTCTCCCACCTCTCTCCCCTTCTCTCCCCTCCCTGTACATCTCTCCCCTACTCTCCCTCTCTCCCCCTGTCTCCCCCACCTCTCTCCCCCTCCTTTCCCCCTTCTCTCTCCCCCTCTCTCCCCCTCTCTGCTTCCTCTCTAGCTCCCTGACACAGAGGTGATGAGAGGAGACTCTGTTATCTGCTCCAACTCGTCAGCCTCCAATTAAAAGCTGTTTATTCAAACCACTTTTACAGGAAATCGTCCGCTCACAACTGGAAGAGCTACTGACATTTTCACTTCAAAAACGTCCAAAGTGATGTCATTGTTCGGCCCGGAATGTTTGACACGATGCTAACGAAGTATCGCAAGAAAACAAATGCAAAACCCTGGAATTGAATGACAGACAGATATAAATCAATTGCTGATTCACGGTTATACAAGATTGAGTTTGGGGAGTGCGTGAAGGATCGGTAATGCTATTGGTACTGGTCGGAGGACTTGGTTTTGTCAGCTTGCCCCAGGGCAGATGTGGCATAAGATACACGATTGAAGGAGCAATGTGAAGCGTATTTGAGTGTCCAGATTTTTTTTTTCAATATAATAAAAAAAAACTATGCATTATTATTATGAAATTGGCGTAATTGGGAAACAAACATCAAATGAAAAAAGGGGACAAACAAAGACAACAAAGAAGTTTTTCACATTCACACAAAAACTAAAAATGTCCAATAATCAGAGTTAAGGCATCTATAATTGTAAATCCACCTTTTTATCTTTTTCTATTTCAACTGAGCATTTTTCTAAGTTGTGATAACATCCACATATTTATCAAAGCTTGCAGTACATTTCTTGTGTTCTAGACGACTGCAGTTACACACACATACGTTGAATTGAATTGAGTTGGAACCCGTGATAAAAGTGTGTGTTAGGAGCTTGTGAGGACCATGGCTTGCCTCCTCAGGTGAACCCAGGCCTGCAGCAGTAGACTTCCTGTCTCTTTGTCGTCTCATCGTGTGGAACATGGAGCAGAGTCGATCATATTCTCTGAGTTCTGCCGTCTCTCAGACAGGTTGTGATCTGCGTACGGCTTTGAAACGCACCAAAAAAGTCCTCCGTGATGAATGAGGCGCAGAAGGATTAAATTACTGCAAAAGCATTCCTCCTGGAAGTCTAGCTAGGTACGAGGTTTTTTTTAATATGTTCTGTCACTTTTATATCAGTATTTTTGAAACATATTTTGCGTTCAACAACAGTGACGTTAAAAGATGTACTTGTTTATTCCGTAACATGTATTCAATTTATAATCTAAGCAATACTCATCCAATCAACCACAGTAACCTACTGAGACAAGAGAAGTCTGGACCTGAATGTATACTGAGACAATTTTCTTTTCATATAAAAACATTGAGCTGATGGACAGTGTTGCACAGAGCGAAACAAATCTGTTAGTTCTTGATGTCTCCACAGGGGGCAGTCTCTCCACTGTCCACACCTTTGTCACATCTGGATCCACTGACACACTCCTACTGCAGTAGTAGTAGTATTAGTAGTAGTAGTAGTAGTAGTAGTAGTAGTAGTAGTAGTAGTAGTAGTAAATAACAAAATAACAAACAAATAGGAGCCATTGGTCCACAGGGAGCGGGAGGATCACTGTCCAGAAATCTTATAAATGTCCCTTCAACCATCCTTATCTTTACTTCCAATTTGATTATTTTCTCAACTTTTTACAAAAAAAAAAACTACATAATCATACATAATAACAAATACATTTAAAAAAAAAATCTATTCCCAAAAGAAGTTAGTAGAAGTAAATCGTATGCTGCCTCTCTTCCTCTCTCTCGACTGTCCACTGTCCTTTCCACCATTACTACAACATTATCTGTGTCTATTCATTTTAATTCAGTTATCAAACATCTACAATCTAGTTCAGAACATCCACCCACACAAAACCATGGTCTTCTCCTGAGCTCATGGACCTGGTTGCTGCTTCTGTTTGGGTGAAATATGTTAGAATCCAGGGGCTGGTTGTGAGCAGTGTCTCTGTACGCCTCTACTGCCTCTTATCTCCTACAGCCGCCAATCAGAAGGCCATTTATCAGAGCGGAGTCAGGCGTCCGGGACAGGGGAAAGTGCTCCACATCCATCACTGTCCTTCAGATCACGCAGTAACTGGAGACTTTTACTCAAGGCCTGTGTGTATTTGTTCAGAAATTAGATTGAATGTAGCTTATTGTGCAATGTTTTGTCGTCGTAAGTAGTAATAGTAGCAGTGGCTGTAAATATTGAAAAAGAGGTTATAAAGTGGCAGGCCTAACGCTGCAAATAACTATGGCGGCTAAACAATGGAAGCCCCCTCACTCACTGGCTCACCACCAATGAGTTGAGTCATTATTGATTTTGTCTTTTTGGAACTTTCCACTCCACCTTAATTCAACAGTTATTTGAGTTTTATTATTGTTTGATTTGTACAGATTTATATGTTATTATTGTGCTGGAGTTGGTCGGAGAGGTCGATGGCACATACTGGTCACTTCGCTTCTGCCCGTTTGCCCCAGGGCAGCTATGGCCACAGTAGTAGTCAATCACCACTGTGAATGGAGTGAATGAAAAATGATTTAAGTGTCCGGAAAAGCGCTATATAAAACGGATGCATTATTATTACTACTTTTTAGGGCTGAAACAACTAATCGATTAATCGACGACTAATCGATTATTGAAATAGTTGACGACTATTTTAGTAATCGATTAATCGTTTTCTGGTTCACACGGACTCAAACAGAGCAAAAATGACATAAAAATGTAGTATTTTTGATTAAAACCGACTTTGTTTTTATAATTTCATGAATATCTGTCTGACTCATCCAATCAGATTGCAGAATTAGCACAAAGAGCCTGTTACAAACATTTACTTTAAGTTTACGCCATCAATACGTCCTCGAGTGTTGCCACTTTAGCTTTTTGAAAAATAATTTTTTTCTACACAATTCACAGCCAAGCGATTACTCGATTAATCGTAAAAATAATCGATAGATTAATCGATTACAAAATAATCGTTAGTTGCAGCTCTACTACTTTTATTAATGGAAGAAAGGAAGTTAGGTTCTCCAGCTTTAACTCTATCCACGACACACACTCTGACATATTTCATACTCTTAATTTTCTCCGTCTCCCTGCGGTGAAGTGAGCCCGAGCACAGGTCAATTAGCGCGTAGCCTCGTCTGTCTGTGAGCCCGTATTTCACGCCGCTGCCCTGGGCTCTCGTGGCTAAAGTGGAGATTTGGCTCGAGGTGCTTTGTGGAGGAGATGTTATCTGATGTTAACAGAAGAATGACACCATAATGGAACAGCAGGGGTGCGATTACCTGTGTGCTGTCCCGCCTCCAACCCCCCCTCCCCCTCCCCCTCCTTCTAAAGCCCGCCCCCATCGCCGACCTGAACCGACAAATTGAGATGAATGACGCTGATAAGTCTGTATAAGCCGCCTGTCAATCACGGAGCTGTCGTGCTCAAGGCTGTAGGGTTTGACAAATGGCGTTTTAATGAATCCAAATTGAATCTGATTTTGCATCTACAGCTTAGAAATGTACGGATTGTTTTTCCTCAACCATAGCTGGTGCCAGGGAAATAAGTGCTAATGCAAGTATGACATATTAAAGGAGTAACACATGTAGTTTGTCTTGTAAAAGTAAAGTGAACAAATCAGACCGAAACAGTCTGTATTCATCTTTTTAGGAAATATGTTCTCTTTTGCAAAAGAAAGAGCCCTGGGAGTCACTATTTGTCACTTTTGGGCTGAGAGCTGATTGGCTGATTGAGGGCGCTCCTCTCTTTCTCAAATTTCTGTCTGAAAAAGCCGATCTAGAGATGTGGCAGAAGCCAAACATTGATTGGTTCAGTTATTCCAATGAGGTTTTACTGCAAATGGCAAAAAAACTGAATCTGGGCTGAATCTGATAAGATGGATTTTATTATATGGGTGATATTTTTGCGGTTTGAAAGTTAGGTACCCCAGCTTTAAAGCAACTGGGCAAAGTCCTCCAATAAACGACTGCTGTTATGATTTAGGGTTACACAAAAACAAAATTGGATTGAATTGAATTATGGACATTTTCTTATAATGAATCACTAGGTTATGGTTGACAAAATTAAATACAAATTGTTCATTCTTGTATGCACTGAAAAGATTGGGACACAGACCAATATAAAAACAAGGGCCCAATCAACATTCTTTTTCAGTCAAATTCCTTGGTTGTTTTGACTGCCCTTGTTGCGGTGATTCAACCTGCAGGTGTCCCATGAGCAACGCTTCTCTGCCACAAAATCTGGACCAGCCTCACCCCCTCTCGCCCCTCTCACCCCCTTCATGCTGTGTAAGGACTGGGCCAATATAGGATTTCACAGGTGGAAAAGTTTACCTCCTTAATCCTCCCTCATACAAGAGTGAGTGGTCAGAACTGGAGAGACCTTATCACACTTTCAATTAAATCCGTGTTTGCTTAGTAAACGTGCTCTGGGGATTTCTCGATGGCCGTAAAGACTGTGCCACACTCCAGCGCTCGAGGATCTGTGGGGCAGATACAGGACTCTCCTCTGGCTGATCTGTGGCAGGTTGTTCTCGGGTTTAAAGCTTGTTTCATCCATTTCAAAGCTGTGATCGGCAGTTTCCTATCACCAGCAGCAGCTCCCTTTGATGCCTGAAGGATGAATGAAAAGTTGGACCAAAGCTTTTTGTGTAGGTTAAGAATGAGTTTGTCCATATTTTCTCATTATGCTATCATTTACAGAGCGGCCATGGTGCACTCATTGCTCTGAGATTAATATTATAATAATTTCCAGTTATATTTGTCACCCATTTATATTAACTCTCTCCATGGACTTACACAAAATAATTAAGTATTTTTTATTCATATACTGTCTTTCCAGACCTATTGAACATGTTTTTAGTGGTAGGGGAAACCAGAGAACCCAGAGGAAACCTTCGGAGAAAAGGGGAGAACATGCTAACTCTGCTTAGCGAGGCCCTGTTCCAACCGAGATTCGAACCCAAGACCTTCTTGCTGAGAAGCGAAAGTGCTATCCATTCAGCCACTGTACATCTGTGACATGTTAGTGCCAAATGAACCAACTCGGACTCTCATGAGCACAGGGACTGGACTGCTGGGACTGGGGAGCACATTAGGAGGATTTCCACCCTCACCACCTCGCCGTAGGTGAGGGTATTTCTCATTGGGTTGGAGAAAGCTTCAGAATTTTCCTGAATGAGCTGGAGGAAGTGTGTGTGGAGAGTCTGAATAAAGTGGATTTTTTTTTATTTAACTATCAGAAAACCAGTCTGGTCCCTAAGTGTATGACCGTGACTGGGACAAAGATTAAAAAGTAGTAATAGAGAAACTGCAGCAGAGGAATTGATGGGTACAAGAGAACAGAAACATAACGCGTTTACCTTGATTCAGTGTCTAAGCAAATAATGATGAAGCTATACATACTAGACTAGACCCAGGTGGGACTCGAACCCACAATCTCCAGCTCCGGAGGCTGATGCCTTATCCATTAGGCCACTAGGTCCCAATGCTATCTTGCATCAGTTAATTAGGATCTGAACCCTAATCAGCAGAGACAATTGGATACAATCACGGTCTGCATGTGATTGGTCGTGCTTCCAGCCAATGAAATTTAGGATTAAAGCCATAATCAGTAGAAACGTAAACATATTAGAGCACATATTTTCTTTAATCAATAGAAAGCAAAAGTACGATAGCAGTTCCAAGCTGGTGGCAGGTTGAACTGGAAGTTAAGTTACACATTTATGCAATCAAAAAAAAATCAGGATAAGCTTTTGCATATTTTGTATGGTTTTTATCTGTACAGATACAGATCTGTACAGATACAGATTTTATCTGTACAGATACAGATGCAGGAGGGTCAGAAGACCGGGACATCTATGAACATTCTTCGTCCTCCCTCGATGGACCGATGGCTTCTATGTTTTTGTTCTTATTGTAATTCCTGTTGTCAAACTCCCAGAGGTTTCTCACTTTTCTCCCACTGGGTTTAAAAATGTTTCTCTTACCGATGCAGGAGGGTCTAAGAGCAGTGGTGATGATCCAGGACACTCGACATTCAAGGACATTTATGGACTTTATCAACATTTATCAACACTTATGGACCAATGGCTCTATGTGTTTGTTATTTTTGTAAAGTCACCTGATATAACTTTTGTAAATTTAGGGCTAAACAAGAACACATTGAATTGAATGGAAGCTACGACTTTGAAATGAGTTCCAATACGACTGCTGTTGTGACTCAGGGCTACACAAAAATAAATCTGATTGAATGGAAAAGTGCTCCGTGCCAGAGAGTGAGGACCTCATCTCTTGGCTCCTTGTCCTGTGACCTCGTGTTGAGACATCCCCTCTCTCCACATTCTCTTTGACTGTTAAATGGTGCATCGCTTTTTTGACGACACCGCGACACTCTTTTGATCCCGGGCGAATCTCTTTTAGTGTCTCCCCGGCTTCTTCTGCAGGAAACCTAATCCCCTCCTTGTGCACATGGAGACTGCCGCATCCTTCTACAGCTGTCTGAAGTCGGAGCAATGGTCGAGGCACTTTGAAGGCAGGTAGCAGGCGTGGAGAGGAGGGCGCTCAGAGACAAGTCCAAACAGAGACACATGGGAAAAGGTAACGGGACACCCCCCCTGGATCTACTGGTGTCAACAGCTGGGAGAGAGAGAGAGAGAGACCGAGGAGCAGGAAGAGCAGCGAGTCAGGCAGGAGCTCGGTGGACGCTATTGAGGCTGGGTACGATGTATATGGAATAAATACACCAAAATATACAGATATGAATTGTTTATTATGAAATTATTTACAAAGAAGTCATGTCATGCCTTGGTTTGATAGACAACACTGCAAAAAGTGAAAATATATATATTTCAGTGTATTTATCTAATCACACGGGACTTTTTTACTCATGCTGGCTAAAGACACTACCACAGCCTGATGATCCATGAGAGTGGGAGTAGGTTTCTCACTTTTTTCTCACTGATTTTTTTTTTGTGGTTCCTCGGCGATGCAGGAAGGTCTAAGAACACTGATAATCCGGGACAATTATTGACATTTATGGACAGTGGTCATCTCACTCCTAATGGACCAATGGCTCCTATGTTTTTGTTATTATTACATTTTCTGTGTTCTATTGTTGGTGAATCGACAACTTTATAAAGTCTTCCGAGACGATTGTTGTTGTGATTTAGGGCTTCACAAAAAATGTATGTAATTGAATTCAAGTTATTATCTGCATTTAGAATATGTTTGAATATTTTGCCAAAGAGTTGTCAAATTCAATGGCCCAATTGAGTTTTACATGGCCAATAGTTTGCATTCATGTGACAACGCAACAATCCACAGAGTTTGAAATTGTGCTGGGCTGCATCTGAAAAGTAGATTCTTTTTCAATTCTCTGATCTGTTGTTGGTGTATCGACAACTTTGTAAAGTCCTGAGAGACGACTGCTATTGTGATTTAGGGCTACACTCAAACACATTGAATTGAATATATAGAATTTCAGTATTAAGCAATAAGAACAAAGTGCAGACATAACAGAAAACAACAGGAGCAGGTCCTTTGAGATCACTGCTGTCGTGATTCAGAGTTATACACTAATCAATTGACTTTAAGGTGCTTTTCATTTATGTGCGACGACATGCCTGTGTGTTATAGCAAATTCTAACACAACTTTTTGGTGTAAATGATGAAGGGGGAACTATTGAAAGAGTTTGCACAATGTTCCTCTTGAACAAACACTAGCTTTGTAATTGTCATGGATCAGAGTCAAAGAAATGTTTTTGCAGAACAGATCACCTTTAAACCTGATAATGAGTGTCTTTGCTTCGGCCCTTTCATCTTTACGAACTTGAAACAATGTCTGAGTAAAGACCTATGTCTCCAAGACGGCAGCTCCTCAAGTCAATGGACTGTGAGCATTGGTGCAAGTCAGAAGATTGTGGAAAGACTATAACATTTTATCTCATTCTGGTCTGAGACGTGGGCAGAAGTCGATGTGTAGAGGAGCTAGTTAGATTGGTTAGAGTGGGCTATAGTGTGAGAATTGTGTTACTATAAACTGTGGATTGATAGAAAAACAATGGGTTACAATAGTAAACAGATTACTGATGACCAAGAAGACTAAAATCCCCACAAAATTCGATCTTTGTGAAAGCTGTGAAGACCTGTCTGACAATAGTAAATGCCGCCATCTACTGGTGACAGCTGGAACAATAGTCTCCAAACAGGAAAGCCACTGTAAGCTAATTAGGACAATTTTGCCTTACGTCCACAAGGCCACTATTTTTTTATTCATTATTTTTTTAATGTGGTCCTCTACTTTCACATCTTCTCAAAGCCATTTTTCAATTTTGCCGTTCTTTTTGCTTCCCATTTTGGCCAAAATTCCAAAAAGTTGATGTTCACCGCTCAATGCTTGACAGTGGGATTTTGGACATTGCCAATTATTATGGTGTATTATTAAATTTTAATACAAACATCTCCTGAAATGCTTAAGTTTTAGTGGACGCAATTTCCAGCCGTTTTCAGTTTTTCTCAATCAAAAAGAAAATAAACTTTACTAATGTAAAGAATTAGGAAAAAGCTTGTTTAGGACACACAAAATTGTTATGTTATTGTGTTCAAAGTAATATACAGTAAAACCTTAGATAATATACTTTAAACCACTTTCATAATTATGCGTTGGTGTTGGAGCGCCCTCTACTGGAAAAATAAATAAAATCATCATTTAACATTGTACTGAAATGTCCCGGTGACACTACATATCTGGACTTTCAAGTTTTGGACAAATAGAGAATAGTAAATTGTTGGATGAAATAAGCAAACAAAAATAATACAGATAATCTTTTGATAATAATGTCACATATTTATGACCATTCTAAAAGACTATAATTCTGTATTGTACTTTAAATATTGTTCATAAAATCAGTCATTCCTTCATCCTTAATACATCATGATTTCTTTGGGCGCGTCCTCTGTGGGTCTCTGCTGCTCTCGGCGCTGTGCGTAAGCCGCGTGGTCGTAGAAGTAGATGATGCCGATGGACCCCAAGGACAGTGCGGTGTACGGGAGGAGCAGGAAGTACCCCAGCTGGAATACTGCCACCCTGTTCTGGGTCCTCACCGACAAGTCACCCGCCAGGTTCAGCACCACACTCTCAGCAGCGTCTGTGCCGGTGAGGGTCACGGCGAACAGGATGAGGACCACGGCCGAGAGGCAGGCTGAGAGGAGAGAGCAGAGGATACTTTTACACAGCTCCTCCAACTTGGAGAATATAGGCCAACAAGGCAGGTTCAATTGTATAGCTGTATTGATTTGGACCTGATTTGAACATTGTCAGAGTAGAAGCCTGTCTCACATGATCGGAAAGGCCGTTCCAGATTTTAGCCCATGTTTGGTTCAGCGAGAGACTAGAGAGAGACCAGAGAGAGAGACCAGATAGAACTTAGAGAGAGAGACCAGAGAGAGAGACCAGAGAGAGACCAGAGAGAGACCAGAGAGAGAGAGACCAGAGAGGTAGAGACCAGAGAGAGACCAGAGACCAGAGAGAGACCAGAGAGACCAGAGAACAATTAGAGAGAGAGACCAGAGAAAGACCAGAGAGAGACCAGAGAACAATTAGTGAAAGAGACCAGAGAGACCAGAGAACAATTAGAGAGAGAGACCAGAGAAAGACCAGAGAGAGACCAGAGAACAATTAGTGAAAGAGACCAGAGAGACCAGAGAACAATTAGAGAGAGAGACCAGAGAAAGACCAGAGAGAGACCAGAGAACAATTAGTGAAAGAGACCAGACCAGATAGAGCAGAGAAAAGAATATAATATCCATATATGCTACATACTTTAAAAGTGGCGAGCTTCAAATTGCTCATATTGCTAAGATAGGTGCTCACACCCATACACATCCACATAAACACTACTGTACACCCACGCACACCCACAGACACACACACACCCACGCAAATATTCACACTGCTGTCTGTCTTGTTTGTAATATTGTATTGTCTGTACATCTGCTCCTGTATTGTAGAAAAAAGTGGCGAGCTAGCCAGGAGTCAAACCTAGAATCTTCTGTCGCTCTCTTGTGTGGCCTTACCGCTGATGGCGCTGCAGATGTAGACCCCCACTGGGCCCATGTAGGTCTGGTAGGGGTTACTGACGCTGTTGTAGAGGGCGATGAGGATACTCAAGGCCGTGGAGAGAAGACACAAGACCAAGAGAAGCACCACCACAGCAAAGAGGACCACCGGGGCTCCACTCTCCTTCAACACCGTGAACACTGCATGAAGAACCGGGGAAATTGAATCAGACGCGATGAATCAGCGGCTGGATAATTGTTTTACTAATCTCTAAATAACACACAGGACTTCCTCATTATCTACGATCACAGCCTTCTAAACCACGGCCATGCTTCTTCTTCCTTTGGAATAAAGAGCAGTTTACAACGGCATGGACCTCTAGTCATTTTCAGTCTGATTGTTCCATATATTTTGATATTATCATCCAGGACACTCAACATTCAACGACATTTATGGACATTTCTGTGATCTGTGTTGTATAGTCCTTCGAGGTATGATTTAGGGCTATACACAAATACATTGAATTGAATTATTATGACTTGTAGACGGAAGAAATCTTGAAAACCTACACCCCAGTTTGAGGTCTACTCTGATGTTGATTTTCATCCAGGAGCTGTTTTTGACTAGTCTCTCTCATGCCCATAGCATGATGCTGCCACCACCATGCGTCAGAGATGATATTTACTGGATGGCATTCCTGGCATTTGTCAGACCATAGCGTCTTGTTTGTAATTCATGTCTTACACATGTATAACTATGATCTCATTTCTCAGTTCTTGCAGGAGGGTCTATCGATAGTGAAGATAAAGGACATTTATGGAGATTTGTTTTTATTGCATTTTCTTTGATTGAATTGTTTGATTCTCTGATCTGTTTTGGCAAATCAACGATGTTATTTAGGGCAATCCACAAATGCATGGAACATACTGTATGGTTCATATGTTCAATGTATTTGTGGCTTGCCTGGACATAGACAGATGTTAGGCCATATTGAGGAAGATTGTCATCACTAAAACAGTTTTTCCGTAAGCCTTTGTCCAAGAACAAGTTAGTGTGAAGATTCAAACCTTACTATTTAAGAGATAGATACATACATAGATGGATATAACACACAGCCAATAACATAGTACAATATATTAAACAAACTCAAATTCTGTCCTGATTGCTTGCTCTAGATATACTTTTACAGGGAAACATAAGCATCCAGTGCACTTACCATCAAAGTCTTTTCCCTTTGGAGATGATATCAAAGGGCAGCTGTACTGTATAAAATTGCCCTTGAAAAGCTTCCATGTGATGAGCCCCGTCCCGTTGAAAAATTCAGTCTCAAAACCAGCGCACTTCAGCTTACTCTCTGCCCAAGTCTGGGACATGGCGAACCCCAGGAGCGCCACAGAGATGGAGGAACAGCAAGCACACGCCATGAAATAACCAATTTTCTGAGTGGAGGGCATGGTGGGGACTAAAGACTGGAGATGTATAGACTGAAAAGATAAAAATGACAGTAGGTTAATCCAAAATGGGCGAGCAGATGTGTCTAGCGGCCTGGGTGGAGTGTCAGTGGAAACAAGGTTGTAAAATACAGCGTGATCTTTGGACGTTGAGGAGTTGGTTGTCACAGCAGAAATTGTAAATAGAAGCAAAATAATCCCTGTGCAGTGCTATTCTGAATCCGTATAGATGCAGCAATGGGAAGAGAATTTCTAAATGTTTTGACCAGAAAAATACTGATTATTATAAGTGTGTATTTCCTGGTGTTTTTATGGAGAATAATCCCATGTCAAAGTCCTTTTCCTGAAAGCACCGGCCATAAATTGAATTGAGGTTAATGATTTACTGTCTGCTTTAAAGAAGTGATAGAGTCAGAGCTGGTGCTAGACTTTTGGAGGCCTAAGGCAAAAGTGGCAAGTGAGGCCCCTCTTAACGGTTTCTGTATACTATACTGTATTTCTTCTAACTGTGTTATATTCAAATTAGGTAAGGTAAAAACAGTCATGAGCCATGCTTCTTCTTGCGGTCGTATGGTATGTCCATATGGTGTATTGAAAGAAAAACTTGTGTAGGACCACAAAGCAGACAGAGAGATGTGATTGGATTCACCGTCAAAACATGATTTAATAATAAAAAATAAAAATAAAAATAGTTGTAGTAGTAGATTTTCCCTAGTTCTTAGTTGATATCTGCTGGGTTGATGCTGTTATAAAGAAATATGTGGAAGCTTGTGATTTCATTATACGTCACAAGAGGGCGCCATTTCCCCAGCTCAAAACAATGTTTCTTGTGACGATAGATTTGGGACGTTCAAATCTCCTTTTTGTTCAGAAATGTGAAGTGAAACAAACTCACTTTTCACAAATACACACCTTTTCAAGCTGTGTATTTGTTTATTTTGCATCGCATTTTTAGTTCTTATGTTTGCTGAATGTACAGCTGGTTGAAATGAATCAATACATCTTTTTTTCCCCCATGGGTTCCCACTTGGCACTATCGCCGACACATCTCTTCATGATTCCTCATCTTGAGATATCGTTCTCTTTCTCATAGTTTCTCCCACTATTCCTCCCAGCACACATCCAACTATTGTCCCATTAATCAGATTCAGATTCAGTATATTGCTATTTGCAGTAAAATCCCAGTGGAATTCATGTGCAAAAGTCCCCAGGCAAGTACATTAATTAAACATAAATACAAGTGTAAGATCATTAAAGTGCTTTGTTACAGCTTGTAGAACGAAGCTGTTGGCATATCCAGATCTTCTGCCTGAGGGAAGAAGCTGGAACATGGCTTTTCCAGGGTGGCCAGAGAGAGACAAGAGAGAGAGACCACAGACCAGAGACAGACCAGCCAGAGAGAGGGACTATGAGAGAGACCAGAGAGGGAAACCAGATACCAGAGAGAGACCAGAGAGAGACCAGAGAAAGACCAGTCAAGAGGGACTAGAGAGAGACAGAGACGAGAGAGACCAGAGAGAAAAACCACAGAGAGAGACCAGAGAAAGAGACCAGAGAGAGACCAGCGACCAGGGAGAGAGACCAGAGACCAGAGAGAGAGACCAGAGACCAGAGAGAGATCAGAGAGAGAGATCAGAGAGAGACCAGCGACCAGAGAGAGAGACCAGAGACCAGAGAGAGAGACCAGAGACCAGAGAGAGATCAGAGAGAGGGATCAGAGAGAGACCAGCGACCAGAGAGAGAGACCAGAGACCAGAGAGAGACCAGAAAGGGAAGAGGCGAGAGAGAGAAATACATTTAGTAGCTAAGTTTAAGAGAATCTAGTCTAGAGAATCAACACAACACGTTTGTTATATATATATAAAAATCCAAGAATTTCTGGCGTAAATCTAGATCCCTATATAAATAAATAAATATATATAATCTCATATACCATTCATTCTTTTGGCACATGTTGTAATAATGTTTCCCACCAGACCGGGGCTCCCTTTCACCTCCCTCTCTCCCCTCTCAGTCTGACAGCTCCTTCTCCGCTGTGTTGTATAGGAGTAAACACAAACTCCTCCTTCGCTTGCTTCACAGTGACAGGCAGCAGCAAATCTCTCTCCCGGTAACGACCACATCCAAGCGCACGAAGAAGCAACATCTCCGGGTAAGTCCGAAGATTATTATTATTATTAGCATTTGTGGAGCATTTTTTTTAAAGCTGGAGACGTGGATTTCCCGGTGTTTTCTCCTTTCCGTTACAGATACATACAGTATACTCGCCGTGTTGGTAACATCGCTCCTTTACGCACGCCTTACGCACAGCAATAGCGCGTATGGGCGATGATCCACTGTTTGAAATACATTCCCAGTTTTGGCACGCGTTCTCTGGCTTCATGTCTGAACACCAAACAACACGCCTCAATCCCACCTGGTTCCTGTCAAGTATACGCGCCAAATATTGTGGTGGAAATGTGTCTTACTTGTGCCATACCATTCTCGTTGTGACATGTTGAGTTGAAATCCTTGCCTGTCTGTCTGTGGTTCAGATTGTAGCGGTGTATGTTGTGTCTCTGGGTTTCTCTCGCCCTCGTTACTGCCCTTGATATGGTAAAACAGCCTGAGAACATAATTCAGATGGACAGTTATGGCCCATAAGGAAAGTGCTTTCTAGTAAGAAGAGCGGAGGTCATGGTTGGCGCAAGGTTTGATGCTTGTTGTTATGGGAGACGCGTCAATTTTGATCTTGTACTGTTTTATATGATGTGTAAGGCTTGTTCCGTCTAATAGCACAAAACAAATCAAGAGTCTTAAATTAAATTATACACAGCCAATAGAACTGTTGTGACCAGTTTACACATCTAATGTATTTCGAAAAGCTATTGCGATAAACAGACTAAATATACTAAAACACATGCCATAAAACTTACTTTAAAGAATACTGTGGGTTATAACATTACATTTTCAACATATTAATGAACCATTTCAGATTTTCTTTAGTAACTTTGTAAAACCTTATTCATACTGGTCTCTCTCTTTGATATCTCTCTAGTCTCTCTCTGATCTCTGGTTTCTCTCTCTGGTCTCTGGTCTCTCTCTGGTCTCTCTCTCTTTCTGGTTTCTCTCTGGTCTTTCTCTCTAATCTCTCTGGTCTCTCTCCATGGTCTCTCTCTGGTCTCTCTCTCTGATCTCTCTCTGGTCTCTCTCCGATCTCTCTCTGGTTTCTCTCTCTGGTCTCTCTCTAGTCTCTCTGGTCTCTCTCTAATTTCTCTCTGGTCTCTATCCATGGTCTCTCTCTGGTCTCTCCCCATGGTCTCTCTCTCTGGTCTCTCTCTTTGGTTTCTCTCTGGTCTCTTTCTGGTCTTTCTCCATGGTCTCTCTCTGGTCTTTCTCTGGTCTCTCTCTAGTCTCTCTCTCTGGTCTCTCTCTCTGGTCTCTCTCTGGTCTCTCTCTGGTCTCTCTCTCTGATCTCTCTCTCTGGTCTCTCTCTCTGATCTCTCTCTCTGGTCTCTCTCTCTGGTCTCTCTCTGGTCTCTCTCTGGTCTCTCTCTCTGGTCTCTCTCTCTGGTCTCTCTCTGGTCTCTCCCTGGTCTCTCTCTCTGGTCTCTCTCTGGTTTCTCTCTGGTCTCTCTCTCTGGTCTCTCTCTGTTCTCTCTCTGGTCTCTCTCTCTGGTCTCTCTCTGGTCTCTCTCTGGTCTCTCTCTCTGGTCTCTCTCTCTGGTCTCTCTCTCTCTGGTCTCTCTCTCTGGTCTCTCTCTCTGGTCTCTCTCTCTGGTCTCTCTCTGGTTTCTCTCTGGTCTCTCTCTCTGGTCTCTCTCTGGTCTCTCCCTGGTCTCTCTCTCTGGTCTCTCTCTGGTTTCTCTCTGGTCTCTCTCTCTGGTCTCTCTCTCTGGTCTCTCTCTGGTCTCTCTCTCTGGTCTCTCTCTGGTCTCTCCCTGGTCTCTCTCTCTGGTCTCTCTCTGGTTTCTCTCTGGTCTCTCTCTCTGGTCTCTCTCTGTTCTCTCTCTGGTCTCTCTCTCTGGTCTCTCTCTGGTCTCTCTCTGGTCTCTCTCTCTGGTGTCTCTCTCTCTGGTCTCTCTCTCTGGTCTCTCTCTCTGGTCTCTCTCTCTGGTCTCTCTCTGGTTTCTCTCTGGTCTCTCTCTCTGGTCTCTCTCTGATCTCTCTCTGGTCTCTCTCTCTGGTCTCTCTCTCTGGTCTCTCTCTGGTTTCTCTCTGGTCTCTCTCTCTGGTCTCTCCCTGGTCTCTCTCTCTGGTCTCTCTCTGGTTTCTCTCTGGTCTCTCTCTCTGGTCTCTCTCTGATCTCTCTCTGGTCTCTCTCTCTGGTCTCTCTCTGGTCTCTCTCTGGTCTCTCTCTCTGGTCTCTCGCTCTGCTCTCTCTCTGGTCTTTCTCTGGTCTCTCTCTGGTCTCTCTCTCTGGTCTCTCTCTCTGGTCTCTCTCTGGTCTCTCTCTCTGGTCTCTCTCTCTGGTCTCTCTCTCTGGTCAGATCATCTTTATCTTTACGTTTGTATCTGTGTTTGTAGTTTTTGTATTCATCGTTGCAGAGAGAGCAGTGCTGTGTCAGTCCATGTGAGGCAGGTTCACACAGTGGCCCCGGGGCCCGGCTCCTGGCCTCACCACGCCTGCTCCACGGTGTGTGTGTGTGTGTGCGTGCATGTGTTTGGATCAGTTGAGCCCGCAACATTAAATACCTGTGCTCATAAATCACACAGTTTTACACATTCCACTCCGCAGCCCACGGCAATCACCGCCCAGAAATATTACACAGACATCATTCTGCATAACATCCAGTTTATGTGAGGAGTTGGACCTACTGTGGCGCCACCTGTCTGTGAAAAGCCAGATGTCTTTGAAGCTAAGCAGCGGAGGGCTTGGCTAGTACTATGATGGGAGACCTCTGGGCATGTATATCAGGTGCCACAGTGGGGCGGCTGCGGCTGTAAAGTGCCAAACTGTCGCTGTGACCTTAGGCAAGACACTTCCCCCACATTGTCTAGAATTAGTCTGGTGTGTGAGGGGC